ATCGTTAGTTTGCACACGACACACAGACCCGCCTCAAGTCACTAACCACAACCAGCTCAAGTCGGGGGGGCGCCGTCGCTGTTGCGTGGACGGCGGCACACATCCTCGGCAATTTAAGTAGACTCCAGAATCAAAACCAAATTTTAATGTGTTATACACAACGATAAAACCCGAACAAAAGTAATCCTGGACCAACGAATAAAGAGAGTCTTAAGACCGTTGTCTCAACGCCGTCCCGCGTCACAGATTATCATCGTCAGTCCTCTACCTCAGTGAGTTCAGGACCCTGAGAGTGTTGGATAGACCTAAATCTGTGTAAAATTAGTCTCCCCCTATCAAACACCAAACGCAACAACGAGTTAAATTTAGACTAGCTCTGACTGTAAGCTTCGAGCGCGTGTCGGGGAATAGTAGCTTGAGCGCCTTGACTACTCCCTTATAAAAACGAGCACCAGCTTTGAGTGAGCCCGACTCAGGCGGACTAACTACGCTGAGCCTGAACCTGAGCACTAAGAACAATATGCGACCCTGAACCTGAGCCCTGAACACTGAGCACTTACATACAAGGAGAGAGTGAACATCAGCAGGGATATAGCTCGAGGTCTATGTTAGAGCTGAACGTATGGTTCACCCGGACGTGCGAACGTTGAAACGTACGACTCTGATCCTAGCACTTAAAAAGGGGTGCTACAAAGCCTGTAGGCTGATTTGACTATCGTAGACTTCGTGGTCTGAACCTTGACCTGAGCTCGTTTCAAAAGGGTACCTTCGGCAAAAGTAGAACATTGCTCTACTTTTGCAGCGAGCACCGCGAGAGAAGCTACGCTTTGCTCCCACAATGCAGTTCGGTGAATCGTGACGTCACCCCATTCAAAGTGAATGGGCAGAAGCGTTGAAGCGGCAACGCACGCCGCCGTGTGTAGGCTCCGTCAGACTGAGAGACTGATAACTACAGCTCAGGTGAGGTAAAGGACTCTGAGTGTTTAGATAGTTAACTTAGTCTAAGTTCTCTGTGGGTCTCAAACGGTTTGGTCATCATTTATGTAAAGACATATTTCCATTTGAGGGGGGAGTGAGATTAGTAAAATATGCATGAATAATACAAACAAAATGTTAACTAGGTGAAAAAAGGTAAGATAAACTTGTTGAGAGCTAAAACTAGTCTTTGCTGTTGCCTCAAAGAGGAGCAGGGGGGAGAGGAGGGAGACAGGTGAGGCTGGTTCAGGAGCCCAGACACACTCACAACTATAAATGAACCAAGAACAAATAAATAAACAAGTTTCAATGTTTTTTCATATTGGATATGGTATTGGTTATGGCCCTGTTCTTATGATTTTATGATTATTTAAATGTATACAGTTCTGTTTCATATGGGTGTAGTCTCTTTATTTCCCCCTCAAAGTGCACCAGATTGATGCATTTAAGTCCAACATTTAAAAAAAAAATCTTACCGGGGGGGGGCATCCCCCCGGACCCCCCTAGAGGATTTGAAGTCCACCTCCACTTAAAATATGTTCACATGGATAGGTTCCTACATAAATTTGCAAATCTTTTTTAAATAGTAACCCATTGTCCATATTCTGGGGTAGTAGATTTAAAGCTTAGGGCTATCACTATGGGCAGCAAAGCTGTAAATATTGACAAATAAGTCCAGGAAAATGGCACAAAAGAAAACTGGTAGTGGCCTGGCTGGGTGTATAATTCCCGGCCTGACTTATTGTCCCAGTCCGGCCCTGCACCGTAGATATACACACGAGCCTCTCAGTAAATAACTTGGAGTTGATTCTTGTAAAACACTGATAGCTAAAGCTTAACTTCAGATTGTTGAGACTCAATATCAACATTTGAACATTTGAGGGCAACAAAATATCCTTTGTTGACAAATGTTGTTTTAACATAGATCAAACAAAACTGACATAAAACGTAAAGGCAATGCAAATTAAGTGTCTTTCAGTCTTTATCTAGTGTCCAAAGATTTTGAAAAGTTAATAAATTGAGCTGATCAAATGTGTTTGGAGGGTAGTTATTAGCTACAGTAAGACTCTGTTTAATGCTGTTTGGCACAACCAAGATTGTCTGATTAGAAGACCTATAAGGGACCAATGAATGTTACAAACAATACAGCGCTTTCCTCAACTCTGCACAGACAGTGATAAAACCTCAAACTGTTAGTGCAGTTACAGCAAGAGTTTAATCTCAGAATGATTTGATCCTGTGTGAACTATCAGAGCCTGTGCAGTTGGAAACAGATCAGAGACA